CTATCTGGTCCATCTTGTCTCTTCAGGTCTGTCTCCATGGTCTTGGTTCCATCTAGTCTGGACTTTTTGTTTGTTCTTTGTGCCCACACTGCTGCAGCTCCTTTAGGTTGGATGGACAGTCTTTAAACCAATGATTGTCAATTGGACTGAGGTCTGGGCATTGACTGGACCATCCCAGAACATTGAACTGGTTCTCCTGGAAGCAGTGGAGTGATCTTCAGCAGTGTGTTTAGGATCATTATCCAGCTGGATGGGGAACCTCCAGCTTGGTCTCAAATGTCTGGGAAACCCATAAATGTTTCCTCAATTTCTGACCAGTTTTCCAGTTCGTGCTGATGTAAAACATCTCCACAACATGAAGCTGCCACCATCGTTCTTACCTGACGACTGGTCTCAGACATGGTGTTGTTCTTGATGTTTGGTCCACAGCACCTTCTTCAGCATGTTTAGGGAAGAAACTCCCAACACTACAACATTTTGTCTTCAATCAGTGTAGTGAAGTCCAACTCTGTGCAGCTTCTAGTGGTCCTGTGGACAGATCCTCCAACTCTCAGCTCCATCAGGGTTCTCTTTGTCCTCTTGGAGGTTTCTCTGTGTCCTCCTGACTGCTCTGTGAGTTTTGGTAGATGACCCCTGTTGGCAGGATTCTTTCCATTTTTAATAATAGATCAGATGGAGCTCCATGTTATGTTCAGGGTTCTTGGATACTTTTGCAGCCCAACCCGATCTGTTCTTCTGCACAACTTGGCCTCTGACCTTTGTGGTGAGTTCCTTGGTCTTCATGATGTTTCCTGTTTGGTGGTAGACCTCAGAGGTGTTGGACTGCTGTTGATGCAGCTCAGTCAGAACTGATGAGCTCGTCTGACACTGTGGCTGTCCACAGGTGGATTCTATTTAACTAATGATGTGTATTCTGAAGGAACTGGTTGGGGGCTTTAAAAGCAGGTGGTGAATATGTTTGCATACACCACTTGAGGGTTTTAAGTTTCTCAGAAATATTAAAAACAAAACTACTGCCCCATTTAACTTCATGTAGAGTGTTCTGTTTAGATCTGTTACTTAAAATCACAATGAAAACCCAATTAAGTTCCATGTTGGAAAACAGCTAAGCAGCACGGTGGCTCAGTTGGTAGAGCTGCCACCTTTCAGCGAGAAGGTCACTGGATCAAATCCCGGTCAGGGGTCTTTCTGTGTGGAGTTTGCATGTTCTCTCTGTGCTGAGAGTGAATGGTTGTTTGTCTCTGTGTCCCTGTGATGGACTTAGACCTGTCCAGGGTGTCCCTGTGATGGACTAGAGACCCGTCCAGGGTGTCCCTGTGATGGACTAGAGACCCGTCCAGGGTGTCCCCCGCCTCTCGCACAGTGACTGCTGGACACGGGCACCAGTGACCCTGTGTCAAGGAAAGAAATGTGAAGTCAGTGTTTTATTTGGAGTTAAAAGTTAATTCACTCTGGTAGGCTCAAGCCTTTGTTTACTTTTGTATTTATACATGGTTTATAAATTACTGACAGTTCAGAAGTGTTTTTCTGCAGACTTGCACAGGTTTTGAAAATTTGTTCAAGATTTACCAAATGTGAATGAAATATGGAGTTGCAGAAAAGTAGGAGTAGAAAGGAAGAAGCGGTTAAAGATGACGGATGGATGAAAAACAAGAAAGCTGAAACACCAAGAGGTGAATACTTTTGCAGCTCACTGCAGTTACAGCTTTAACATGTCCAGATCCTTAAAATCAAAGATTGCCAGTATACCAAACACACCAAACATAATAAAGCAGTTTATGTTTCTGGTTTCAGAACACACAGCTGTGTTGGTTTGCACTTTACTGCCACTAAAGTCTTTTTGTTGTTTTTTAGGTCATTTTTGCTACAGACGAGTGGTTTGCTCCTGCTAAAAACCTGCTGAAGGTAAAACTTTGGTTATGTCAATATTAGCAGTACTAACAGGAACAGTTCAAACATGTTTTTACAGATTTCTAACTCGACAGGTGGAGCCTGTAAAGTGATATATCTGAGACTGGAAACTGCTGCACAGAATCAATATTAAATCAGTGTTTCAATTTATTCACTGTGTGAGATCGAAGTTTAGATTTACTGCAGAGTTTCACGTTAAAATTATCTCCAACTTGTACTGCTTATCCCTGATTGGGTCGTGGAGGCAACAGGTCCAGGAGAGAAAACCAGACCTTCCACTAACCAGTGACGCTCCAGCTCCTCCTGGAGGACCCCGAGGCGTCCCCAGACCAGAGAGGATACATAACTCCTCCAAAACACTGATCCTGACAATATGTTTGTGAGAGACGCATCGGGTGAAAGAAGACAAAATACCTACTTTTTCATGTAACACTTATATGCACTAAAAAAATTGTTTACAAAATGTTTGGAAAATGTTGGAAAATTCATGAAAATATGACATCATCACACAGAATATTTCATGTAAAAATCATCAAACTTAAACTGTGATTGTGTAAAAAAAAAAAGGTAAAAGATCTGAAAACACCAATTTAGTCAAGTAAAGCCCAACTTTCGGTGACCAGTTTACATTTTGAATCATGTTTGTGCTGTGGTCTGAGCTGAAATGGTCCCAACAAAACTGGATTTACTCACTTGTTTTGCCAAAATACCATTGATCTCTTTTGATTTTTTTCTTGGTAATTTTAATCTTTTTTTGCTAATTTTGTGTGATGTTTGGCTGTTGCGCTGCACATTTTGGTTTATAATTTGCACATTTTATTTCAAATCTGCACAAAACATTTTCAAGAATAAAAAGGGTCCTTTAATGCTTATGCATTGAGATTTTAAACCCTTTTACTGGAGCAACAATTTAATATGAATATTTATGATAAATGATTATCGTTTATGACTTTGTTTGCAAGATCAGCTTGAAGACGAGTTCTCAAAGTTTAATCAGCACCTTAAAACACTTTAGGTGTAAAAGAAAATTAAGGGAAACCTTAAAAAGCTGTGGAACAAGTGAAGGTTGTAAATACATCTGGCCTCACTCAAAGTTGAACAGCCAATTTATTCTTTATAAGCACTTTTACTTGTTCTGTTTGAACAGAGAGAGGTTCCACAGTTCGTCGCATCTGCCTTCACAGAGTTCGGGAAGTGGATGGATGGATGGGAGACGAGGAGAAAGCGGAGTCCTGGTTGGTGTCTCTGATCTGTGTTAGACAAGCCCCACGTGGGGCGCCAATGATGAATATGTTTTTTTTCTTCATAAAACATTTAACAAAAGAAGACTCTATCGCAGTTAACCAAGGTTTTATTAATACAGAATCACACATGACATTTGAGTCAGAAAATCAGAGGTGGTGTAGGACTCAAGGTGTATTTAACTTTTACAAATATGTAATTCATTACTCTCTATCCAACCATTCTACACAGACACCAACATATGGACATGGGTCTGAACACATCCCTTGATTAGGACAGTTCAAAACACACATACACTTTCTTAGAATTCAAACAGGTTCTAAAGAACATCTTCTCAACCTTACATGGAAAACATTTTTCATCCAGATAAACTGTGAGCATTCAGCAAAACAGTCTTTCCTTTATTGGATGCTCACACACACCTGTCCTGTTCTCAGAGTTTCAACCTGTAAAAACCCCTCAGATACACACATGTTTGACACTTGGTGTTTTGAGCTTTACAGAGAAACCTTTTATGATCCAAGATGGTTATTAATTGAAGAATGAAAAGGTTAATCAATTACAATAACTATACAAAACATAAATAACCATTTTACAAGACGAGTTTAGACACAAGGCTTGAAGAAAATTTTGAAAAATGTCAGTGAACCCTCCTGCTGCCCTTAGGTTTAATTTTTGAATCAAGGGCAACAGGAGGGTTCAAATGTAAACATCCTCAACCTCCGTCTCTAAAGCCCAACAATAACTCGGAGCTTTATTTTTGTAATGATCTAAGCTGACAAAATGTTAATATTGTCATGTTTTAAAGAGAAAAGTGAACCAAGATCAAAAGAAATGTTAAAGTGTCTGCCAAGGTCTCATTAGAGTCACCATGGCAACCACACTTTGTCTTTCGCTGCCTGAATAAGACAGGCAGACAAAATAATAAAATTAATAGTAAGCCCCCAACAGACAGCCACTGAGTGAAAACTTTGGGTTGCGCTGAAAGAAAGTGGCAGAAACGTTAAGTGGATGTCACACATAAATTTTTAGGATTCGACAGTGTTTAATGTACAAGATACTACAAGTTGACGAAAACCACCACTTCCACTTTTTGAGAAAAATTGTGAGCTACGATGGAAGTCAGAGTTAGGGTGTGGGCACTTGGATGGAGCAGATAGTAATAACTGTGTTTCTTTTAGATTTGGACCAAAGCTTTGTTTTGGCTTACATCTCTTTGTCTAATCTTATTTTGAAGGTCATGACTGGTGCATCATCCAGCTGGGCGTCCCCGGCCTGATCTACGGATTTGATGTCGACACGTCTTTTTTCACAGGAAACCACTCACCTTACGTCTCCATCCAGGCTGGCTGTCTCGGTACAAACTCCTCTGCCTGGTTATTTTCATTATCACTTCCTGTTCGTTTCTAAACTTGACATCTTTTTACTTAAATTGAAAGTCCATATTTCTCAGTGTAAGTTTATATAAACATGCTTTCATGACCTCATCCTGGTCCTGACCAGATCCATTGCCCACCTTCCTGTCGGGAGAAGACCGGACCGGCATGGCAGCCACAGCGAGTCAGATGGATGCCGTTGCCAAGGTAACACTGATGCCTGGGTGATGTCAGTGCTGGCTAACATGTAGCTTGATTGACAGATGATGTGGTTTAGATTGACAACTGACTGTGTTGTGATTGACAGCTGGGCTCCGAGGCATGGCCAGAGCTGGTGAGTGTTTCGAAGCTGCAGCCTGGATACTCAGACTGTTGTCACAACTACTTCAGGGTCAGCTTTAACAGGAGAGTCACTCACCTGCGCCTCAACATGTATCCAGGTATCTTCAAAACAACCGCAGCACACACAAGTCTTTAACCCAAACTCTGTAACAACTCCTTTAGTCCACAGCCACAAACATGGTGCTTTCTTCATAAAGGGTCAGAAATTTCTCAATTTTTGACCTTAATATGGAAACAGCTTTTTTAGACTAGATAAAAAAAAACTTGTGTCGATCACAATCCCGAAGTTGGTTTATAAACATGTGAAATTAGTGTTCTTTAAATAATAAATGCATATTGTCAAACACATTTAACATCAAACTTTTAAACTAAAATCTCATGCACTCTGTTAGTGGTCAAAGGATGTGACGAAGAAGACGATCATCTACTACCACACCACATATTAGCTCAGTATCTGCTCAGTTGATGGGTAACCCTTTATAAGCCTTTCTGTGTGTTTCTGAGGTTGTGGCAGCCATGCTGAATTGGATTTACATAATAATTTATTCAATTGTACAAATACTGTGATTATTTCCTGAGAGTTTCATTAAATCCACCCACTGGTTCATGAGATATTTTGCTAACTGACAGACAAACACATGAGTGTATACACAGGCAATTACATGATTACCCGTTAAAATGAATGAGAATGATAGTTTACCAACTTGTGTGGTAAAGAGTTGAGTTGAAGACCCAAATGACGTGTTCTGCACAATTTATTTTATATAATTTTGTCTTAAATTGACAGATTTTTAAAGTGTGACATAAAAAGTTATTGGATCAGAAACATGTAGAAGATTGAGAGTTACAGGATTCGTGGTTCTGGGTTCATGTCGGGTGACTTGGACCCTACTCTGCTCTAAACATGTTTCAGACATGTTACTTATAATCTTAAACCTTAAATACATTTATTACATGTTTTCTGGTGAGAAAAGGCTGTAAATTATTGGGATACAATGATTCATTTGGTTGTGTCTCCAGATGGGGGGATAGCCAGACTTCGGGTGTTTGGTGTTGGACAGAAGGACTGGTCTTCTGTCTCCACCCACCAGGAGCTTGACCTTGTAGCTCTGACTAATGGAGGAGTCTGTCTTGGCTACAGCGACGCCCACTTTGGACATCCACGCAATATGATTGGTTGGAATAAACTTAAACAACGTTTGCATTAGACAAAATACTTGTATATATTTCTCTTCATGGGTAAAATGACATTGGTTGGGTTGACTCCCCCTAACTTTCTGGTTTGGTGGTTGTGTTGGGTTTGCAGGTCTTGGTCGAGCTGCCAACATGGCTGATGGATGGGAAACAGCCCGCAGACTGGACCGACCCAAAGACCTGAAGGTTGGAATATACATTAATGCACAGTTGTGTCACTCCTCTGCAGCTTCACCAGCTGCACCTATGAAGGAGTCTGTTTAAGGCAGGGGTGTCAAACCCACTTACAAAAAGGGGTCAAAATTAAAACCTTTTTCAAACTAAGGGCCGGTTTCAGAACCTACATTGATTCAAGTTAGATACCCAACATCTTTTCTTGGTAGCAGGTTCCTCAACAAGAGTTTGATTGACCTCATTTGACGTTCTCTGTTGCATTTTTGACATCATAATCAAAGATTACTGAAAAAAATTATAGTGATAAAAGTATTTTACATTCAATATAACATCTTGGGGGCCAGAAAAGATGACAACGAGGGCCACACTCGGCCCTCAGGCCTTGAGTTTGACACGTATGGTTTAAGGTGTACATGGTGAGACCTGAAGTGGATCACGGTTGAGGTTTCTGGCTCTTTGCCAGGCTGGTTTGTTGAGCCAAGGTCACTCCAGGGGCCGATGGTTGCCGGTCGTTACGGCTTGCTGAGGGGTTCTTAGTCGGTTGTCTCATTGTTGTGTTCAGTCCTCATTTAATGTTGCGGCTCACAAGCCGGGTCGTAACAGTTATCTGGAAGACACTGGGTACTACCTGGTACTTAAAAGGTTCATACATACTTCCTAAATGATTAATACCCACAAAGTACCAAGCCCTGTTATGTATTATTACTACCCTTGATCAACCCTTGACAAAATGTTTTCTCAGTTTCTTCATCTTACAATTAAATTATTTTCAAATGATTCCACTTTCCGAACTTTTCCCCTTGATGCTGTCTTAATGTCCACGGATTCAGCCAGGTGTGAAATGTTTCCCTGCAGGTGGATCAGCGGGGCATCCTGCAGGTTCCCGGCTGGGAGTGGGCCGTGTTTCGTCTCGGTCATCCTGGAATAATCAGCAGCACTGAGGTCGACACCAATCATTTCAAAGGTAGAAACAATTCTCCGATGCTTCTCTTCTGTACCTCTAAAACCAAACGCCTTTTTAAAAGTGATATTTCTCCATCCAGGTAACTTTCCAGACTCCTGCCGGATCGAGGCGTGCCTCCTGAGCCCTGAGGAGGAGGCTCAAAGAATCAGGACCAAATGGAGTTCAGGGACATGGGAGGATCTTCTCCCACCTCAGAAGGTAGGAGTTTACCATTTGTGAGAACATTCATTAGTTTCTTTAGTGTCTTACAGGTGTAGTTTATGTTGACCAGGTGTAGTTTCTATAGTCCAGGGATAGTTTCTATGGTCCAGGTGTAGTTTCTATAGTCCAGTGATAGTTTCTATGGTCCAGGTGATGTTTCTATAGTTCAGGGATAGTTTCTATGGTCCAGTTGTAGTTTCTATAGTCCAGTGATAGTTTCTATGGTCCAGGTGATGTTTCTATAGTCCAGTGATAGTTTCTATGGTCCAGGTGATGTTTCTATGCTTCAAGTGAAGTTTTTATGGGAAGAAAGCGAAAGTAAAACATGTTAAGGATAAAAATAATTACAAATACAAACAGGTAGAGTAGAGCAAGTAATGACAGCAGCAGAGAGAGGACATGTGGTCAGTTTGTCCTCCAGCAGTCTAAGCCTATAGCAGCATAACTAAGGGACAGCTCAGGAAACCCAAGCTGACCCTAACTATAGGATTTATCAAAAGAAAAGTCTCAAGTCTCAAATCTGGATAATGTGTCAGCCTCACAGACAGAAACTGGAACCTGGTTCCACAAGAGAGGAGCCTGAGAACTGAAAGACCTTCCTCCCATTCTACTTTTGGAAACTCTAGGAACCACAATTAAACCTGCAGTCTGAGAGCAAAGTGCTCTGTCAGGAAAATATGGAATAATAAGATCTGTAATATAAGATGGAGGTTGGTTGTTGAAAGTTTTGTACAATTTTAAACTCCATTCTGAATTTGACAGGGAGCCAGTGGAGTGAAGCTAAAACTGGAGAGATAAATGAATCCGGCTCACGTTGAGCTTCCTCTGTGTGTTGCAGCTCCGTCCTCATCACAGGCATCACTACGGCCCAGCAGACCTCACTCTGACCTGTCCTGTCAGTCATGTCCGTCTCACCATCGCTCCTGATGGGGGGGTCAGCCGCCTCCGTCTGTGGGGGAGACCCACGCCAGTCTCTGCAGCTCCAGCCAATCAGAATATACCCACATCCAAACTCTGACTCACCTCGGAGCTCGTCCAGCACCACTGAGCCAAACAGGAAGTGGATCTACTGTGTGTCCACATCATTCAAATATAAACAATAAAAAAAACCAAACTGAGTCCTGTTTTCATTTCTCTGTACGTTCATTGCAAGCTTCTACCATTCTTCTGCTTTTTTGTTAGAATCCAGTTCAAAATACTCCTGTATGTCTACAAATCGCTGAACAGTGTTGCCCCCCCATCTCTCTGATCTGCTACAACTGTATGTCCCACCACGTTCCCTGAGGTCAGCAGACCAGTTGCTCCTCACAGTTCCAGGAACTCGTCTTAAGCGCAGAGGTGACAGGACCTTCTCTGTAGCAGGACCAAGACTTTGGAATGAGTTACCTCTGCTTGTCAGACAGGCCCCCTCCCTCTCGGTTTTCAAGTCCCGTTTAAAAACTCACTACTATTCAGAAGCTTTCAACACCAGATGATCTGTGTTTTGATCCTGTATGCTCCACACTGGTTTGTCATTATCTGCATCGTTTTTATGTCTATATTCTGATTTACCTCATTTTGTATTTTGCTTTGTGTGTTACCTGTTGTTCTGTCTGTACAGCACTTTGGTTGGTCTTGTAGCTGTTTTAAGTGCTCTATAAATAAAATGGTATGGTATGGTAATGGTATTCAGCCATCTAATCACCCATCCATCCAATAACCAACCATCTGTCCAACCAACCATCCATCTGTCCAACCAACCATCTATTCATGCAAACATCCATCCAACCAACCATCCAGCCATTCATCCATCCAACATCAACCATCCATCAATCCACCTAACCATCCATCCATTCTAGGGTTCTGGACTCAGGTCTTGGGGGGCAGCAGCTTGAGCAGGGAGATCCAGCCACCTCTTCCATTTCTCCTGGGCGGACTCCAAGGTGTTCCCAGACCAGCTGAGAGACATACCATACCATACCATACCACACCATACCACACCATATGTATTGTGAAATTCTTTATCAAAAGGGCTCGTGAAACGGTCGGCACAGATATTCAGACGATGGAAAAAATGACACACAGACTGTAACTTGCTAGAATAATATTTGTCATTTATTAATCTGCCACAAGAAAAAACAGCCAAGCAAAAGAGTCATGTACACTCTTAACACACAAAT